GGGGGGGCCGGGGAGAGCCTGGCGCTGGCCCCGCCGCTGGAGCAGGCGCTGAGACAGGTGACGCCGTGCCGGCTGCCGGACCCTGGCCGCCCGGTGACCCGTGTGTGGCTGGGTGGCCTGGCCCCACGGCAGGCTCGAGGGGGGCTTCCCGCTTGCCCCTAGCTGCTCGCCCTTGGGGAGAGGGGTTGAACCTCAAGGGAGGCGGATCTGTGCCAGTATCTGCCTGCCCTGCTGTGCTGGAGCCCCACGTCGCAGCTGAGGGTGAGCCTTGGCCGGAGTCGGGGGACAAGTTTAGTGCCCTGAGTGCCCCTCATAAAGGCAGGGTGCTGGCAGGCCCTGTTAAGAAGGCTTGTGGCAGCTCATCAGCTTTGGCAAGAAGGAAGGAGTTCTGCTCCTCCCATGTTTAGGGAATAAGCAGGGAGGAGAGTGTGGACCGCCTTGAAGGTAGGGATGAAAGCCTTTTTCCTTCCCAATGTGCCTGGGTGCCCTGAAAGGCTCCTATGCACAAGCTCCCCTGGTGCTCCCCGCATCTGGCTGGGGGGCTCCTTGCAGAGCTCTGCAAGGGCCCCTGTGAAATAAGGTGTTCCGTGGGGTGGGCTGTCTGCGTGGGCCCATCCCTGGGGAAGGGGCATTTCCTTCTGGAGATAGGTCACCGTGCGAGTTATCATGCTATTAGCTACTAAAAAACAAATCACAGAAGTGAAGATGTAGGCTTGTAAAGGAGAAATTATAGCTCCATGTTCCCACTGATCAGGAATAATGTAGTAGTCGGTGATGACACCGCCTAGTGCGGCAACTCTGATTTCCGTTCCATGTGTATCTTTTTTTTGTTCCTGCTTTCAGTTTAATCAGTCCGTGAGCAATGAACTGAATATTGGTGTAGGTACTTCCTTCTGTTTCTGTACTGATGGACAGCTGCACATTAGGCAGGTTCTGCATCCTGAAGCTTCCAAAAAGGTATGTAGTTGTAACATAAAGCACACTAGGAGTAGTCAAGTTTTATTTCTTGCAAAATTGATCAACTTAGCTTTAAAATGTGTAATATGAGGGCACTTTCACACGTTCATAATCCAGGCATTGCTCATCAGTCCATATCCTTACTAGACTTAAAAGCTTGTCCATGTGGAAGGCAGAGATAATACCCTGTGCTTATGCAGCCTTGAGGTGCCTTTTTAAGTTAAATGAGAAGAAAGACTTTTGAATTTAAGTGTCTGAGAGAGCATTCTGTCAATGACTTGCTCCTAAACTTTCACACCTTACCCTGCTGTAATAGCTACGATGAGTTAATAAATGGGAACTTGAAAAGGTTGCAAAATAGTTAACCACCTTAATCATAAGCTGCCTTTTGAAACTTTACATTCGCCTTTAGGTTCAGCAACTTCCAATCTTTGTGTATTCAGTCCGCTCTGAGGGCGGTGCTCCTGTTTGTAGGGAGGTGAGCAGTGGTATGAGGCAGGCCCTGAGTGATGACTAGTCCTATAGTCTAGAGTTTTCTGTAACTTTAGAGTTGCCAAATCACTAGCAGTGTTGCGAGCTCCTGCCCATTTTTCATTAGTGATAGGGTTGTAGCAGCGTGCTGAGCCTCCTGTCATAAAGTAACTGCCCCAACATTCATAAAACCCTGGTCTGTGGTTTGCTATGGATCTGTAATAATCTCTTGGGATTTCCTCACTGATCTATGCCTGTCATTCTGCTGCTGCTTCGTCTTTGAAGGTGGATGCTGCAAGTCTGTGCTGTTATAAACTGATATCGGATGAGTTGCTTCTAATAGTTGTTGGTGCTGTATTTATACCTTTTAAGCTTTAGTAGAGAAGCCATAAGTATGATTCACAGTGAAGAAACTTCTTGCCTTGTATACATGTAACTCTGTCTTGGGGAATATAATGTGGCTAGGAGAAGATAGGGGAAGAGGTTGTTAACAAACTTTCATTTATAATAGGTATTTGTTTTGCACAGTTAACTTTTCCATGCAGTTAAACAATGCAGATGAAAGAAAGGGCAACTGCTACAATTACTCTTATTTAAGTTTGTCTGGCCTCAAGGATAGGGAACGCTTTTGCATGTATCACCGTAGAGTCATTGATAGGAATCCAATCTTCATCAAAGCCTTCTGTTGCTGTTTCAGAACAAATCATTCATTTGAAGTCTGTTCTGTGCTACCTAAAGATGAAGTAAATGAGATGTTTAGGATACCTCTAATAGCTTTCTGGTGAATCCCCAAATGCTGAGGGTCAAGGGGGAAAATTAACTAAAATTCAAATATGCAGAAATCTAGGCTCTTAAATGTTTTTTCTAATCTCTACTTTTTTTTTTGAGATGCCCAGTTTGAGACTGTCTCATAGCTCACAGTATTCAGAGAACGAATCAGCATAAACTGTTTCAACCAAGTTTCAGTAAGAACAGAACTTGATCTCTCCTGGGAGAAGAAAATTAGCCATGATAAAACTAGAGCAGGAAGTCTTGGCAAGTACACCTGCACTTCCAAAGTTTACCCTTAAAGGGTGTAGTTTGCCTAATATACCTGTCCCTATGCTAAGATCAATTCTAATATTTTCAAAGCAGAACCTCTTTTAGAACCTAAATCCCTTTCTTAGGGCTTCGTAAATGTGCATCCATGTGTCCTGTCCTTCTGTTGTAATGTCAATGTGCTAACTAGTCATAAGACCATAGAAATGGAGCTCTTTGAGTCTAGAGAAGAGCTGGAGGCCAGGATCAGCAAATGGAGTACTGAGGTGTAGATGAGGACATCTAGGATGAAGAAATAATTGAAGGAGAAGGGGGGGCTGTGTTAATTTAGTCTCCTCAAGTCTTTTCTCCTCCCCTTTCTACCCTTCCCTCCCCCCAATTCTCCCCAAATTAAAGCATAAGGTAGATGTAGTTGTGCGGCAAGAAATGTTTTACTGGCGCTTACTTGCAATGAGCTAAGTAGCTTGCTGTTGGCTTCATAGATTGTGATTAATGCAGTTATCGGGCATAGATGGGCAACCTTTATACTGTATCAAACCCTCATGTGCTCAGTGTTGTGGAGGGGTGGGGGTTAGTGGTATATAAAGAATAAATATTTGAAATGTGACTGTGCTCTGGAAACAGCCTTGTCTATAAACCAAAATCTCTCTTGCTAGTCTTGCAAAATTTGCTTGGCTCAATAAACTGAACTAAGTGCCCTCTGGCTCTTTACAGTTAAGGTTGGAATCAAGAATTGATGATAAATGTTGCAATAGCATTCATTTGCTCTCCTACCTATATATTGGATTGGGGCACCAGTAATAGCAAGTGTTTCTTTTTCCAAGGCAGTGGAAAAGCACATTTATCTTTTTAGACCTTCTAGAGAAGAAGCTGTAAGCAGGGGGGAAAAAAGTTGATAAACATACTTAAATGGCTAAGAGGAGCCATATGAGCTTCTCTGTAGCACAGGCTGTTTGTTTTTTACCTACTTGAAAGAAATTGTTAGTAAGCTTGATATCTGAAGAGAAAGTAATGGAAATTCACCGTAGCTGACGGTAGTTACCTTGTTCTTTTGCAGAATATCTTGTTGCCTGAATGCTTCTACTCCTTTTTTGACTTGAGAAAAGAATTCAAGAAGTGTTGCCCTGGCTCACCTGACATTAGCAAACTTGATGTTGCGGCCATGACAGAATGTATCCTTTTAACAATGATAGTATCTGCTATTGTTATAACTCTGAGCGAATTCTAGGACAGAGGTGTGAGCTTGCAACATGTGTTTAGGGATAGTGTAACTCTAATGAGTAACTCAAACTGTACTAAGCTTCTTCATAAAGATAAAGCCATATGAGGGTGCGTGATGCCATGGAAAAACCCTGTATTTCTCCTTAATTTCTGTATACTTTCTTCACTATCTTTATAGTTCTATCTCTTTAAATTTCAGTTTAAAGTAGTACATGTTTATTCAACTAATTAATGTGAATCCTAATGTGTTATATGTTACAATGTGAGGTGGGGATGGTAATAATATGCTGTCAGTATCATGTGGACTCTTCTAGTGGCACAGGTGTCCACGTTTACTTTCAAAATGGTCTGTAGTAGTCTATAGCCTAGTCCTGCCTGGCTCTTCACTAGCTGTAGTTCTGTTTTGTTTGCATGCTACATGCAGCTCACCTGAAACTCGTGCTCTAAATGAGTCTCCATGCTTCCTTGGCAGCCCCTCTTCTTGCTGCAGGCTCCGGTCCCTGTCTCAGACTTGCTCACAAAAGTGGAAAATGCTTACCTTCCTTATCGACCCATTGAAACAATGACCACAAAAGCCAACTAGGAAGCAGGAGAAAGGGAGTTGAGAGGAATTTTGGTAGTCATTAATCATTTTTCTATCTTTGGCTGGCTTATGCTGTCAGTGGTTGCCTTTGAGAGGTTGCATTTTTCTGACTCGGAAAAAGTCTGTGACACCTGAAATAGCTCAGTCTTAGACTAAGACTTGCATTAGCTGTACTGCTGAGAGTTTTGTACCTGTTGTGGCAGCAGAGCATAAAATATTTGTGAGATTTTTCTTATTTTTACTATTTCCCTTACTCCGTAAGGCTGGGTGCTGAAAGAGGTCTACTCTAGTTTGACACCTGCAGATTAAGATGCCTTCTTCCTGAGGAAGGGAAGAAATAACTTCTTCCTGTACTCTGAAGAAAAGTAGTATTCCTAGAAATCCACACTCCTACATTTATTGTACAGGAAAGTTAAGTGTTTATGTTGCTTAGTCTGAAAACTAGATGATGGAGACTTCTTTAATATATTAAGCTTCTCAACCATAATTTAGGTCTTTTGTCAGGGAAGATATAAACATGAGCTGGAGATGTTATTTAAAGGCAGTGGGCTACTTCAGCTGTTTTGGAGAGATGCCTTTGTTTTCTCCCTGTGTGAATGGCTGATGTACGTCTTGCCACTGTTGAAACTCTTGTGTGGTTGCAAGCACCTGAAGTGTCACTGGTCACCTAAGGCAGTGTAACAGACTGTGTGCTGCCTGCCTGCTGGGAGATGGGGAGCAGATCAGCCTGTGCTCCCTGACTGTCAGGGAGCCCCTAAAGGGTCAGTACCTTCTGAAAGTGGTGGTGGTTGTTGGTTTTTTTTTTTTTGCTTGTTTGTTTTGGACCATCTTCAGAAAAGGAGTCAGTGGTCCAGGAGACCAAATGACAAGTCTGCTGAGGACAAATGATAGAATGAATAGTGTTGGGGGGGGGAGGGACTTGATGTTTTGTTTGGGGCAATGGCTAACCTTAAGCTTATATCTAGCAGAATTATTACCTAGACCTGATTTGAGTTGGATTTGGTGATGTAGCTCTTGCAGTTTTCCTGCAAGTTTGAGGGTGTTTGGGGGTGGCACATGGGAGAAGCATGCGGTGACTGAAAAGGTTAAAACCTTATTTTTCTTCTCCTGTCAAATGTGATAATTTTTTTTCTTTTCCCTCACCTTGCTCTAATGTACCAACTTTATCTCCTCAGTGTCAGAAGTTGTAGAAGTTGTAACGGCATTTGGAGAGCCTGGACATGCATGTTATGCTTGTGATAAGTTTTGTGGAAGCTGGTGATGCAGTCTAAGGATTAATTTAAGCAATTTTGTGCATAGATTTTGTTGCAAGTAGAACAATTGGTTTCCTTCTAAAACAGTTATGTAGTAAAGGGAAGCAAACCCTAAATGAAAAGGAACTTGGATTTGATTGAAGGAGGCATGCTAAGGGAAAAATGCAAGCTGGAAACAAATGGAGTAGGAGCAGATCAGTGCGCAGAATCTGACCAGTCTCATTGTTCTTGCAGAAATTGCAGATCTCCTACCCTGCAGCTAAAGAGGCTGTATGATGGGAATCTTACCGATTTCCTATGTACTGGGCAAATGGTCCTAGGCCAGGTCTGTTAGCATTTGGTGGGAAAAGTAGACTGTGCTTTAGGGGTAGTATACTAATTAGAGCTGCAGTCACAAAATGGTAGCGGCAGCAGGAGTTGAATGATTTGGGGCACATCCCTGCTTGTCCTTCTGTCTCTGTATCCCCATGTGTGAGATGCCACACAAATTTCATCTGAGTGATTGTTCCTATGGAGGAGCTGCTATGGGAAAGCTGGGTATAATTATGTTCCAAAGGCTTTTATTTTGATTGGTAGCATTTGACTAAACAACAGAATAGTACTCTATTGCCCCCAAAAATCAGGGGAAATAATTTCCCACAATAGTCATTCAAGATGTGTATTCCAGTGTGTAAAAACACTGGATAGTTGATGCCTGGTACTCTATTCCATGCAAAGAAGGCAAACTGTCATCTCTGAAAAATGAGCGATATTAAACTGAATATGGCTTATTCTTCCCTTAGAAAGTACTTTTGGGACTTACTTTCCTAGCAAACTACCTGAAATTGTCTACAGTAACAAAGCCATTCCAAATCCAAGAGCTCAAGCAAAAGCTTTGTTCCCCCACCACTACCCCCAAAAAATCGTAAATCCCGTATAATAGTCACCAAGTTCTCTTAATGCAAGGTAAGGACATATTTCAAATACTATGAAACTTGAGACTAAGGAAGAAATGAGACTAGTTACAACTGCTATCTGAGTGCTGCTGCTTCCTAACAGTTTCTAATGGTTTTTAGTATAGGAGAGTCTCGTGGCAGACTTGCTTTAGTCAGTATAGTGAGAGGGTAGAAACAGCAGGACAATTGCAAGAAATCCCAAGTAACAAAACTTGGGAGAAGTGATCATGTCCTTGTAAAGAAAGGAACTCGGGTCTGTTGAAATCTCTTTAAGCATGTGTAAGTATACAAAAGAAGCAGGGTTGTTCTTTTTGCACCCTCCGTACCTCCCCGTACTTGCTGCACTTCTTAATTTGCAAAGCTTGCTGAGCCAGTTTTCACTGCTGTGAATGCCTTCAGGGTGGAGTGAACAAAGCTTGCATGACTATCCGGTAACTCAGTCTGCAGAAGACTCATCCTTCTTTGCCTCAAGACTGGGCATGCAAGAAGCCATTACATGGCAAATAGCTCTTGTTTCCTCCAGTGGCTGGTCTGCTCTGCTCACCCCGAACTTGGTTTGTGAGGGTAGCTCCTCACTAGGAGTATCTGCCGGGTGTCTTTGGTACAAACGCAGGTATCCTTCCAAGCAGTCCGCTGAGCGCGCTCAATACTGAAGTGTGTACCACTGAGCGTGGTACAATACTGAAACTTGTATTGTAACCTGGGTGTCTTGAAAATTGTGATGTGGAGCACAATTATAACCAATAGTACTTAACTCTGGCTATCAAAAGCCCATTAATGGCCATTACCTGAACATCTTGTATACTTCTATTTGCACTTCCTGTGGTAGTACCCAGAACCAGGTGATAACAGATCCACTTTATGCAAAACAGTACTTAAAAAGATGTAATCCTCTGCTTGAAGAGACCTAAAGACAAACCAGAGAAGAGCATCAATGCAGAACATAATTGTAACGGTAGTTCATGTCATATCTCCCGGGTCTTGAGGAGAGCTACGTGACTGATGTTCAGTTTTTCTTTTGCCTTAGTTGGGAGAGGGGTTGAAGCTTAAAGAAATGGAACAGACAGTGTGAGGGAAGAGGGCTTAGAGGACGCTGGCACTGGGTGAAGCTGCAGTGAAGAACCTGAGGAAGTAGGTTAGGAATTTCCCCTGTACGTGTAGACAAACCGGATGTAGAATAACATTTTCCTCCCCTCTTTACTAACTTGGAGCGTGCTGCAGAGGGAGGTGGTACCACAGCTGAGCAGCAAGACTGGGGAGCTCCTTGTTCCCTGTCCTGTCTCATTTGGGTGTGTCTTTTGCCCTTTGCCTTGCTCACAATATGTTAAGTGGAGTGTTTGTTACTTTGCATAGTAGTTTTGGCAGCCATGGCCAATTTCTAACACTTCTTTAAATGCGAACTTAGATTTATCCGCTGCAATCAACTTCCTTTCTAGTTTGTATAGGAGAAGCTAGCTTTTAAAAAATAATATATGTGCATGTGCACACACAAACCCACATGTGATCTCCTATCCCTTCATAGAATATTTTTTTAAGTTCCATTAACAGCTTTTTTGCCTGAATATCTGAAATTTCCAGTGCCTCAGACCATAGGGGTCCGTCTGTATGTAGATGGCTATATATTCATTAGAATTCAAGTTTTTGCTTAGTTGCGGTTATTAACATACTCCTTCATATGTGCAGAAAGCAGTCATTTTCTTTTCCAGTCTTGCCAAAAAGCCCTAGTTCCAGCTAATCGGAGGCGAAGGTGTGAGCGGGTTCTCTCTTCTTTCCCTCCCACTACTGTTGATGCATTTCTTCCTCGCCTCCTACTGTGTTTATGTTCATGCAGAGTTCTCGGGCACAACTGAGTCCCGGTGCCTGAACACCTGGTGATCAGCTCCTGTCAGCTTTTGGGACTATCTCCTGTTGATCCACGTTTTCAATGAAAATGTTTTCTTTGGAAAGCATATGCTGTGGGGGGTTGGTTGGTTGTTTTCCTTCTCGTGCAGTAGCCTCACTTAAAATTCCCTGCCCTTTGCGCTGCTGCGCTCCCCTCTTTGGCTGGCTGCTTGTAGGGATTTTTGGCACTGCAAATAGGAAGTATTAAACTGTCTCTCTAGCTTTGACAACCTGGCTTAACAGCCAAGCTGGTGTGTGTATGCGTGTGTTCCTGCCCTAACAGCTTTTGAACCTACTGCCTGGTTTCTGTCAACGTGCACAGAGGGAAGGGAAAGATAATGAAGCTTCCAAGACGTTCATAAAAATGGTCAGCTAGACGAGGCCAGGGTTCCCATATCTGCCTTTTCAGTAGCTTCTGAGTTGCTGAGTGGATGCTGGCGCCTGGCTGCACACCTGCACGCGCATGGCTGTGAACACTGCAGGGGAAGGTGATGGGGAAGGAGGAGAAGCGCCACTATGTCTTGCTCCATGAGGTGCTCAAATGCCTGCATGGTGCCGATTAGACAACCTCTTTGCAAGGGTGAAGGAAGGCTGTATCTGTGGCTTAGTTATGGCTTAGATGAGCTGCTGTCTATGGCTTAGGGAGGGGCACTGCAATGAAGTTCCTCGCTATCATAAATATTGGGGGTGGAGTCTCCTAAACTGTGTCTGGGGGGGCTGTTGCATGTGGTTTGTCTGGGTTTTAAGAGAGCTGCTTAATGTTCTCAATACCTTACTCTAAAGTAAGGTATCTGGGGGGAGGGAGGAAAGTAGCTGGCAAACTGTGGAGCAGTTGGAAGGGAGCACTAGTCTACTTTTTTTAATGACAATAAGTCGGTTCAACTTTAAATGTTCTTGTGAGTTTAAGCATCATCTTCCTACCTTCTGTTCTCCAATGCATACTTAAAAACAACAAAGCCTCCAAATAAAATTAATCCCAACACTGTTGGGGGGGGGAGGGGGAAGGGAACATATATTTCCTTTCTATGGAAGAAGAATTCATTAATTCAGTTGAACTTACTTTTTTTATTGGTTTCAGAGTTCAAATGTTGTTGTGTTTTGAGGTGATAAATAATCTGTTTTGTAAGACTGGCTTGTCATCTACAAACAATAGGAAGATCTTGTTTCAAAACTAAATTCATGTTCGTCACCACCACCCTATATTGAGTGTAATGATATAAGTTTGTATTTGTTTCTGTCTGTTTCGAACCAAATTGTTCTTCCATTCCCTGTTCTTCATCCAGGCACCTGCCAATTCAAAATGTGCTCAGCTCTAGGTGGAGGAAGCTATTCTTTTTAAGAGGAACCTTACCATCTTGGAATGAGAAGTGACTTTTTGAGGACAAAAAAATCAGCCTTTTAGAGCTGTTCAAGTGCTTCTAATGTAGTTTTGTGGAAATCAAAATGTAGGCGAACAGTGCCTTTGACTTCTTGGAATATCTGGAATTACTGTGCTGCCAGGTCTCATTGTTTAAGAAATTCTTGTGCTTCTGCTCTAAAGTCTTGACATAAAGTGATGAGGCAAGTCTTTCAAAGCAAGTCCAGTTCCCAAACTGCTTTCTACTTCACTGTTCTGGTACTTGTCCTCCTCCCTCCCCCCCTCAAAGAGGGCGGTGGGGGAGGGGAAAGGCCTTTTTAAAAACTGGTTGTATAAATGAGGGAGCTGAGTTGCAAGTAATCTCCCAGTTCTGTAACACCAAACTGCAGAGCAGGGCAGATATGACAGGAAGAGGGAGAGGCACCGTAGTAAACTAGGTTTAAAAAAATCTATGCAAAAAAGGAGGGAGTCCAATTTAAGAAGCACATGCCATCATCTATGGACGTGGATTTTTATCTGGTCAGTCTACAGCTTGTGTTTCTAAGAAACAACACTTCCTGCCTTGTCTTATCCTTACTGTTCTCTTCCAAAACACTCCAGGGCAAAGAATATATGGGCTGTGGGGTTCTGCTTTGTCTTTGGCTTAGCCACAGCAGTGCACTCTTGCTCGATTCCCATCATGCTTCTGCTACCGGAAGTTATACCCCTAGTTTTATGCTAATAGGCTAGACCTAGGGAAGGTATCACTTGAATTTTGTCAAAGCAGTTAACTAAGATATTTATTCCACTTTGGGATTTATTTGTTTAGAAAATATTTGCTACATCCTCTTATTCTTGGAGTTTGTAGTTATTGCGTTTGCTTCCCCTAGAGATTAAGGAAGACTTTAATTACAAAGGACAGGACTCAGTGCTGTCCATGCAAGAGTGCATCTGTCTTACAGCTGTACATAATGCATGACTGTATTAAATTTAAATGCCCTTATTACGGGGTCTCTCCTGTCCCCAGCCACTTTCTGGAGTGATCTCATGCTCCCGCAGGTGGCAGTGTTCAGAGGCAGAGTCAGCTGCTAACCCAGATCAGCTATTTTATCCCAGCAGGAAAATGGATTAAATCTTCCCCTGAGAAGCTGACTTACGATCAAGGATAACATGAAAGCTTGTTGCTCTAGCAAGAGGCCAATTAGAAATCTATTCAATGATGATTGACTTAACTCCAGCCTAAAGATCTAAATCTTGGCAAGGGCAGCCCAGCGCTTCCATATGGATCCTCTCAAGTTGAAGATATGGGGAATATTATTTTAACGCTAATATCTGAACCATACAGTAAGTGACTGATGAGCTATTTTTTTGTATTTGTTTTTTCTGTCTGTCTTATATGTTAAGGAAAAAGAAAATAACTTCTATTGTATTTCATAGATCACAGGTTTTCAGATCCAGAAAGAGTGAATTACAAATTTGAAAGTGGGCCTTGGTAAGTATCTTCCTGCTGCCTTTTTAAGACCTTGCTTACATAAGGTGTACTCTTCTGTACTCATAATTGGCAAATTTTTATCTTGCCCCTGTTGCAGAATAAATTAGGATACTTTAACAGGAAAGGGAATAGAAAGTTGCATTGATTGTAAGACAGTTTTCTTGCTAGGTTTAGATGTTGTTTGTTAGCTGTTGGTAGTTCTGGTTTGGCTAACGAGTACTTACAGCGAGCGCTAAGCATGCTTTGCTATTGACAAAGAACTGAAGTGTCTTCCAGGAGTAACCTTATTGGTTTTAATTTTGAAACAAAGTGTGGGAAAAGTATAGCATAAGGTGTGTTCAGGAACTCCTATTTTGTATAGGAAAAACACTTCTGTAAAGATACTGTGCGAAACAACAGCATTTTATCAGTAGATCGCATAAACTAGGATGATTGTCCTCTTCCCAAACATGTTTCAAACATAAAGCTTTATATGCTCTTGATGGCTGTTTTTAAAATGTAATCATGTTCTTCTGTCTTCAAACACAGATCCCCCCCCCCCCCCCCCCACTGCAGAGGAAGTACCCAGCAATAACACAAGTGACTGGTGTTAAACTGGTCTTATTTAGATTTGTGCCTTGCATGAATACTTCCCTCTTCCAGATTAATGAACCATGGCAATGGTAGATGATGCTGGTTCTTCTGAGCCAAAAGTGGCAAGAAAAGAAAGCAACAGTATTGGCAGAGAGTATCCAAATGCGATTAGTTCGGAAAGCTATGTTTTAGTGTTATTCTAAGCTTTTTCCCTTTTACAAATGAAATCCTGGGGTGAGGTAGAAGATTCCATCTTATTTATGATAGTGAAAAGTTAAACTTGATGTTTAGTTTGAACTGCTTCTATAAGGGCATGTCATCAGAAAAGGTAATATGTAGTCTTATTCTTCCCCTCCATCCTCAGTTCTATATTTTCTTAAGACAAAGTGTGAAAGTATAGAATTGGGAGGGAGGAGGAGGGGAACCAGTTTTGGACAGAAACCTACAGGAAAGGGTATCTGAGAAACAAAAATATGAGCAGGGAATATGACCCTCCTACAACAGGGTGCTCACAGCCCTTTTGTACAAGGGAGTCCTCTTTCACTGCTGCTGAACAACACTCTTAATCAAACCCAAAGTCCCTTCTGTGCAACACTGTCCAGACTGGCAGCCTTGGTAGCTCTGAGTGTTTTGTTCTACGTCACATTTTTAACGTGTAAGAGAACAAAAGAGGCAGCAGTAATGGCCAATTAAAACTGGCTTTCTGTGGCTGAGCTATTCCCCTGCTAAGCAGCCAGTGTAGCCTGTAGCTATAATAATCTCTAGTAGCACAGAGATGGCCTAAATAAAAAAAAAAAAAAAAAAAAAAAATTTAAGGCACAGCTCTTTAGGCAGGAGTCTTCTCTGTGCCAGGAACTTTAGATACCCCGAAGAAATTTGGTCTTAGCTTGTGACTGTGACAGAGTATAAAAAGCCAGTACAAATAAGAAACCTTAGCTTCAGTTATGACCATATCTAACTGCACTGCTTCAAATTCCACTTGGTTAAAACTATACACCTACTGTTATAATTTTAGACATCTCTGCCTGTTTAGGCAATGGAGAAGCACAAAATATTGGTATGTGTCAGGAATGGAGAGTAAGTTGAAAATATATTAAAGATGAGAACTCAAGGAGCAAATGTGATAAAGCAGGAAAGGGTAGTTGGGAAAGGGGATGGCTTAACAGGGTAGATGCTTGCTGAAGGGTGTAGGAGAGATTAGGAGAGACTTGCTGTGATTTTAGGCTTGTGACAGCTCTTAGCCTTTGCTGCTGCGGCAGTACCTTCCAGCCTTGCCCAGCAGCCATGGAGCAGGGACATAAGCTTGTGACTGGAGTACAGATGACAAGCAGCGCTGTCTGTGTGGCAGACACTGAAGACTCTTTTCTGTGCATTATTTCTTTCTGTGCCTGCAGCAGCAAGATGGAACTCGTGGACGATAATGCTGTAATCCGAGCGAGAGGATTACCATGGCAGTCGTCTGACCAGGACATAGCAAGATTCTTCAAAGGCCTAAATATTGCTAAGTTAGTAGCTAAGGATTTATCCGTGCCTTTGTAGTGTTTTGTCTTCTTCAATCATGGAGTCTAATCCTTGCTTGACTTAAATCTTCCAGGGGAGGTGCTGCACTCTGTCTCAATGCCCAAGGTAGGAGGAATGGGGAGGCTCTCGTGAGGTTTGTAAGTGAAGAACATAGAGATCTAGCGCTACAAAGACACAAGCATCACATGGGGAATCGATACATTGAGGTGTGTGATATTGGCTTTGAAATTCCTTTTCTTGACAGGAGTGCAAACAGCATGTCAATCACATGTTCTATTCTTTTCTTTTTGTTAGGTATACAAGGCAACAGGTGAAGACTTCCTTAAAATTGCAGGAGGTAATTTCTAGGGGGTAGGAAGGGAGGGTTTGTTCCATCAGCACCTGTAAGCTGCTCTTGTTGGAGGTGGCCTTTCATTTCCTCTTTTCTGAACAAGTGGGTGGCTGGCATGTTGATTAATATGTGCTCTGCTAGCAGTCCAAGCTCTCTTGTGATTTATCTACCTCTCTTCCACATCCTTGCTGTTCTCATGCAGTCTATCAAATAAGGATTTTATCAGACAAGTTGATTCTGCATATGAATTTAATTTGCTAGGTCATCTTCCTAACTGACAGGACTTAAATGTTATTGATTGCCGGAAAAACAAAACCGGAGTAATCTTTCAAAACAATGACTGCTGTTGCTGTGGAGATTTGCTTGTAAAAGCAAACAGATTTTCACAGTGTAAATAATGAGGGATTTATGGAACTGTGATTTTCCTCAAGTCAAACCTCTACTCCCCTCTCACGCTAAAGGGGAATTTAACTTGTGTAACGGGAATATTTCCAAACCTTCAATTGAAAGACTGGAAAACTTGCCCTATAACCCTCCCATAGTCTCACCTTTCTTTGTATGTTCACAGTCATAACAGTTCACTGGATCTTAATCCAAACTCTTACGTATCTACAATACTGTTTTAAGATCCTTGTAGGTTCCTGACAAAACTTGTTTTGGGGGTTGTGGGTGGCTAACTGCATGGCTAAGGTTCAGGTTTTGGAGGGGGGAAGATGTCAGATGCTTAGCTCATTGAAAGGATTGGTAATAGTTATACCACTGAGCGTAAAAACATTGCACGTTAACCTAGGAAAAATAGTGTATGGTTGGCACAATGGAACTTTCGTAGCCAATTCTGCCAAGCTGAGATATCTGTAAGTGAAGGGACTGTACTAAGGTGCAAGCGTTGCTACCAGCTGGCTTTGGATAGGGTAGTAAAAATATAAAAATGAGCAATGGTGGCCTCTTAGAGATACGAAACGTAGAATTGGCAAACTGTAAAGGATGACGGTTTTATTAGAATAGGATGAAACTCCTGAGTCACCTTTAGCTCACCCTTCACATGTTCTTTCTGAGCCCAACGGTCTGGGTCCTTGATTCCTAAACACTTGGTTCAGAGCACACTGGAGGCGTTTCTAAGTTAGAAAGCAGAGATGCCTGGCAGGACAGGTACTGCTCATGCAAAAGAGTCAAACTGCTTTCCTTGGGCTTTGAATCCCTTTCAAAAGAGAAAGGAGCGGCACTGCTAGACTTCCATGGGGAGTGTCCTATAATGTAATATTTCTAGTTTATCAGACTGGGACATCTTTCCCTGACTGTAGAGGCAAATGCTGCTTTACCTGCTCAGGAGGTGTCCTGGGGAGGAGCTGTGCCAGACTTGCTCACAATTTTATGTGGCTGCCTAAACTTCGGTACTTCTGTGCTTCTTATGTTAAAGGCACTTCCAATGAGGTTGCACAATTCTTATCGAAAGAAAACCAAGTGATTGTCAGGATGCGAGGTCTTCCCTTCAATGTAACAACAGAAGAAGTGCTGACGTTCTTTGGCCAGCACTGCCCTGTAACAGGAGGAAAGGAGGGAGTCCTATTTGTCACGTACCCTGACAGCAGGCCAACGGGGGATGCCTTCGTGTTGTTTGCTTGTGAGGAATATGCACAAAATGCACTGAAAAAGCATAAGGACTTGCTGGGGAAAAGGTACATTGAACTCTTCAGGAGCACTGCAGCAGAAGTTCAGCA